AAAAAAAATGGGAAAAATTGAACATACGTTTTGACTTGAGATGCCAAATGTCTGTAGTTGATTTCAGTACATAAATATTATGCTTTGCTATTTTATTACCGTTTCTTTTATTTTGTGGTCATGTGTGGCTCTGTTTGTAGCAAACTGAAATATCAGCTAGAAACTGGAACTGATATTACAGGTAGTCAGTGAATAAAGAACATTTTTAACCCTCAGTAATTCATCTTACTTGTGTGGCATTTTGCCATTCACGAACGTAGATTCCCGAGGAGAGCTTCTTTGCTTTAATTTGATCCCAGTCCTTCCACTAACACGGAGGACGCGGGGTTTACTGCAGCTAGACACCAGGGGGCGATAGAGATGTTTTGTTTTTCATTTTGTTAGGTTGCTAACCTAATAAACAGATTAACTGCATATTGTAAACAGGGACTGAAGAATTTTTTCCTTAGACAACATTATCCCCACATGCAACACAATTGGTTGTATGATCTAAAATTGTTGCATGTGTAATATGGGAAATAACACTTGTTTTTTAATTTCCTTTTTAAATAGCTGAGCTGAGAAGTCCTCCTTAAGATAAGCATTTGATATTTTTAATGACATAAGAGCAAAAAAAGAAACATATTCAATTCAATTTTATTTATACAGCACCAAATCACAACAGTAGGCGCCTCCTAGCGCTTCATATTGTAAGGTAAACCCTACAATAACACATACAAGGTTCACATCATTTTTAACATGTATCTTACCAGTGCAGAAAGTGAAAATATAAAGATACAAAAACAATAAGAGAAGCATAAAGCCATTCTGTGCTGCTTTAAAGGCCTTGGGTGGCCCCTGAGAGACCTGAGTCATCTCTTGTCTATTCTCAGCCATCTCTTTCGCTCTCCATTCAGGGAATGAACTTCTTACCCTCCTCCCTCTTTTATCCCCTCTATTTCCTGTTTCCATCTCAACCTCTGGTCCCAACAGACACCAGAAAGAAAAGGAAAGCAGGTAAAGGTGCTCTCTGCCTCTTATGCTTCCTGCCTACATATTTTATTGAATTTATTTTAGCTGTCTGGCCTTGGCTGTCCTACTAATTCCAAACGCTGTGACCAGAGGAGCAACCATTGTATCCACATGTGCAAGTCTGTGTTTATACATGCACACTAACACATTTGCATATCATGCTCATGTGTATTATCTGATACACACACATACACAAATTTCCCCCTCTCTGTTTGACTTGGGAGGAATGCTTTAAATCTAGGGATGGGTACCGGTATGGCACCGGTTCTGACATAAACGGTAGTAACCAGACCGAAAAGAAGCGCACATTTCGGTGCTTTA